AAAATTGTATGGGGAAAAATCATTTTTAATTAATTGTAGCTTGTTTAACAATGATTTCCTGGAAAAAACTGAACGTCAAAGTCCCTGATTAATTTCTTTAGGTTGTCGTTCACTTTTTTTCACCTGAATATGCACCGAAAGCGAATTATTCCTACTTCTCTCAATTTCTAAATGGGGATTAGTCATGAGAAAATCGAATCTCTCGTTCCGTTTTTGACAACAACAAAAAGTGAGAGTGGGGTGCAAAACTCAAAACTACCCAAAATTAAGTAAAAAGAACTTAAATTTAGGGTAATTTTTATTTCTCTGTGTATGGTTGTATGCTCAGTAAGCATTGACGTTGACGGCGACTCTGCAACTCTTTACTGCTGGTAAAAATCCCTTAAGAATCTGACAATCTATGCATAGAATCTAACGGACTTTGTCACCATGGTGCCAACCATGGTGATATTCATATGAGTGAAAGGGTAAGGAAATGTTCACCATGTTTCACGCACAGCCTTATGTTTGCTTATGGGATTTTATCATAGGAGTAAAGAGTGGCCGAAAAGGCGAATTGTCAATAGAGCAGTGCACGGTCCCTAACCTCACTTTTTGGTTCCAATCATTTTGTCTCTGAGTAAAAGGGATGGCAACGAATGGGAGCCAAAACAAACCACCCAAAACTTTCAAAATTTACGGGTGAGAGAAAAGTGCAGCAAATCTTCGTGCACTGATCTATAGAGTTCTCCAAATGCACACAAGTGTGCGTGAGACCGCGCGCTATCTTTTAAAGTAGTTGTGATATCGCGATATCTTTTTGGTGCTTCTTCTTCTTCATTTATATATATATATGTATGTTGGATTTTAGTGTTCGGGAGATTGCGCTTGGAGATCGCTGTAGTCAAGATAATGCGCAATGACATGTAAACAATTGAGGCCCAGATAATTTGTCGTCTCTTTTGTTCCCTCCGCTGTTTAAATGCTTGACGGAGTTTGACGTGTGGGAATTCTTTTTTCGACTAGCTCGACAGGGGGGCTTTTCAGAAGATTTTTTGACTAGTATTTTCAAGTCGATCAGAAGCCAATCAAGAGCTCGTATATCCAGTATTGCCTATTTACAGATGTAATATTTCTTCATCTCTTCGATCTAATTGCATTGGATTGATCATTGAAATTATGTTAATTGAATGGAATTTAATACAAATAACTCGAAGATTTGATGATTACGTTGAATAGGTGTAAACTACCATTTTATCTGTGGTATGTTGAAATATTGTTAACTGTGCTTTGAGTGAGTAAACTTATGATTACATCACGAAATATCCTGTTGATGCATATTAACGATTTTTTTTGTAAATAGTGCTTAACTTTGATACAGCTAGCTGTGAGTCCCACGCTAGCACCTTAGCCATAGTTGTCGTAATAAAGTTTGTTGCCCTTTGCCTTTTCTATCAGCCAGGATCAACCTTACCACGTTTTTTTGTTACAAAGTAATTGGAGTAGTTCTCTGTGTTAGGATTTGAGAAGAAACCTTCAATTGGCGGCAATTGAGAAACATAGGGAGAGTTGAAATCTGGGGTATTACAGGTATCGATAAGCGCTCGATTCCATTTATCGTCCTGCTTGCAAAATTCTTGCGAATGGAACGATGCAAGGTCAGCTCAAAATACTGCATATCTTTTAAATGGTACTTTCGTATAAACCTTGACAACTTGTTGCAAAATTTTGCTGCTTCTCTCTGGACTTCAAAATGTAAGCACTTAACTCCAAATTTACGCGGTCGTATTTTTCCTCCTACGAAACCCAAAGTTTGATGCAATTGGAAAAAATCGAAAATATCCTAAGAAGAAAATGTTACATAAATTAGTTCAGGAGTGCTTAAAACCACGTTAACGTTAACTAGAATTATTTTAAAAGAATTGAGTACGCCCTTGATCCCTTTTCTTATTTTAAAGCTTGTATAATCAATTTGACAGAATGCCCAAGTAACATTGCAAGTTTTATCGAGGTTTTAAAGCATGCTACAAGTCTAAATCATAGTCTGCAGAACCTTCATAAAACCAAAATTGTTGCTTGGGTGATGTCTTTCTATACAATTTTAAATGACTGAAGTGGAATCGATATTTGATGATCGAGTTCAACATATCTTATGTGCTTCAGCCATCAGTCTGATGTACGTTTCCGGCATCGTCTCAAAGTTCCGTGCTATGATGTCGATGTCATGCGCGAAGCCAAGAAGCTGGATGTGCCACTCGTGTCAATCCTAGCTTTTCTGATCACACCTTCTAACGCGATGTTGAATAGCAGACACGAAATTCCATCACCTTGCCGTAACCCCCTTCGAGATTCAAAGGGACTCGAGAGTGTCCCCGATACTCGAACAACGCACATCACTCGATCCGTCGTCGCATTAACCAATCGCGTCATTTTATCCGGAAATCCGGAAATGCATAATCTGCCATAGCTGATCTTGATCGATTGTGTCGTATGCGGATTTGAAATTTCTGCAGAACCTGTCGAATCGCGAAAATTTGGTCCGTGGTTGCGCGGGAACCCATGAATCCCGCCTGGTATTGCCCCACGAACTCTCTAGCAAATGGTGACCGGCCGTTTGCTTAGAATTTGGGAGAGTACCTTGTAGGCGGCGCTGATCGCGCGGTAGTTGCAGCAATCCAACTTGTCGTCCTTTTTGTAGATTGGGCATACGACACCTTCCATGCACTCCTCCAGTAATATCTCCTTCTCCCAAATCTTGGCAATTACCCAGTGCAGCGCTCTAGCCAGTGCCTCACCACTGTATTTTAAAAGCTCACTTGGTAGTTGAGCTATATCAGTTGCTTTGTTGTTCTGCAGCCGACCGATTTCCTCCTAAACTTCTTGAAGATCAGGGGTCGGTAGCCTATCGTCTTCTGCACGTGCTCCAAGGTCTATTGCCGTGCCACCTTCGTTTTCTGCTGCATCACCGTTGAGGTGCGCGTCATAGTACTGCTTACTCCTCTCAATCACCTCACACTCGTTCGTGAGAAGGTAACCGTCCAAGTCCTTGCACATATCGGCTTGCGGCACGTAACCTTTGCGTGAACTATTTAGATATTAAATCTATTGAACAATGATTTTAAAAACTTTGCCGATTTTCCGTTATACATTTTACCGGAGGCATCGTGTTTGGAGTGTTAATTTCATGTTCGCAACATTAAAGTTCAAAATTTGGCATTTGAAATATGAAAACTTCTCAAATTCACTAATTTTCGTCCATGTCAGGAATATTTATTTTTAAATTAAACACCCTGAACCGTGAAGATTTTTCTAAATCCAGGATCATATAATTTTATAAGCATGAAATCTTATAAAAATCCAAGTCTCAGAATTTCATCTTGTTTCCCAAATATTGATTACTTTTCTGTGTTCAGAATCTCGCAATTGTTTATGGAATAATTTAATTTTCAATCCTCCATAATGCTCTTAAAAAATTTGTATAAAACACTCATAGTTTCCTTGGAACTCTCTCTTGAATTAAAAAAAATATCTTCAGAATATACTTGGAATAACCCTCAGAATCCCTTGGAAATGTTCCTCTATTTTTTTTGGAATTATCCTAGAAATTCAGAGTTCAATTCCTTTTGAATTTTCTTTGGAACTAACATAAAATTTTCATTCGAAGTGTTTTTGTTACTTCATACGTTAAGTTTACGATTTTCAGACTTGGTTGGAAATGCTATCTAACATGAAGCTTTAGTATGATAATTTAGAAAGAGAAAGGTATGAAGAGGTTAGTTTGTAGTTCCGCCAGAGTACGGCAGTATGAAAATTAAATAGAAGTTGAAAATGAGCAAAGGGATTGGGATTGGATGATAATTATTTTTATTTTGCATTTCAAAGGAAAATGCATAAATGTTTTACAAGATTGTTTCAGCCGTTTTTATACCTTAGAATGTCATAATGTAAGGGTGTTTTATTTTGAATTAAATACTCCGAATTTATACTACCAAAAACATAAATAACTGAAGATGATACATTGCTATTTTGTTTTATCAAAGTCTACAAACGATAAAACATGGCCCACTTAGTAATGGAGCATCATCATTTGGGTCTATTTCGGATTTGAATTAACGGATTTGAAAAAGGTTATCCCATATATTTTAAGAAAAAACTTCAAAACGAATCAACGAACTTTTCCCTTAAGACTATCCATCAAGCGGCGCACAACAGTCTCGTCCACTGTTTTTTGCGATTTTATCCCACCAATTTTTCACCTGAGCTGCCATTTTGATGACTGTAGCCTCTTAATAATTGCCCATTAGTTTTCAATGGGCCTGAACTGGGGACAATTGGGCGGATTGAGGGTTTTCGGAACAAACTGGACTCCGCTGTCATTGTACCATTGTTGTACTTCCCAACTGTAGTGACAGCTCGCAAGATCCGGCCAAAATGTCACCGGACCATTCTGTGACTGGATGAAGGGCAGAGTTCGTTTATGGAGACATTCGGTTTTGTAAACCTCCAATAAGTTCATCATTTTCTCAGTGACGAAAACCTTTGACGGTTGTTAGTTCCACTCCGGCGTTTACATTGAGGCTTCCGATTCGACGTCAAGATTTCCCTTTACGCCATACGGTTTTTTCAGGGAGATTCAACGCTTAAGCCAGCTTGGACGCGGACCACGATGGATTTTCCAGGTGACTGTGCACGATTTTTTATACACTCCTCTTGCATGGTAACTGTCTCCAAAACAAGAGCGTTTTATGAACTGAAAAAATAAACTGTTATTGTTATTATTGTTGTCAACAAATAGACATCAAAAGCTTCCGAAAACGTCTACCAGGAGCGCTGTAATAAGCAAAAAAGAGCACTCACTACATGTACTAGTATCATGGAATTCTGATAGGTAAAATCGGAAATTCAATTATATTTTCGCTATTTGGTGTGGATTTGCTCTCTTGGAATATTTAAAACCCTTGACCTCAATGACATTTCTTCTAATGTTTTCACATTTGACTTCTTTGTTATCGCGCTTTCAGCTCACAACATAAAGCCAGCTGGGACACTCGCTGGTGCATGCAAACATCAAGAAAACGTTGAAAAGGTGAGAATTATGATACTAAAAACCAACACAAATAGTTCATACATTACATTACTTATCAAGCTGAATCCTGATCCAACGATCCCTACCTGCTAGCAAAATCTTCCATCTTGTGATTTTTGACACATGGCCACAATTTGTGTGTTGTAACGTGGAGCAGTTCCAGACCAGATTGTGTTGAAATAAACAGATTTTGAATTCTAGAATTCCATGAAACCACATGAAACTTCCATTTGCTGGAGTTCGGGCATTTTTAATCTCGTATTATTTTTCAAAATAGCGTTTTAAATATTTTTCAATAAATCATAGCACGAAAACGGCTCATCTATACGAAAAGACGTCAGAATCAAAGTTGAATTAGGATTAGAAAAATACAAACTGTTAAAAAAATCCAAATTATCGTCACAAAGTAAACAAAACTGTAAATACAAAAAAAAAAACATTTTAAGATTTTTAAATTTATGTTTATTTTAAAGCTAGGCAAATATGATAACTTTTCTGAAATGTACGCAACGGACTCTTCAAAATTGACCAAAATCTTAGTACAAAAACTCTCGTCTCGTATAAACCTTCAGCAAAATAATATGAACTATGTTTCCGGGAGATATGTGTGGGTGCAAAGAGCGCCCAATGCTTCTCAGTGCAGTGTGCTGAACATTCAGCACTATCGCAGGGACTCGTGGTCAGCCATGATGAGTGTTGTGAGAACAACGAACTGGACACTTCATGCTCGTCCCCTCTCAATCACCAACCACCGTGGAGGTAAGGCGTGCGGAGATATCGGGCAGATTAGTTTCCGGCTCATCTCATAAATATTGCGTTGAAAAAAAAAGTTTAAAATTTTACCAAAAGTAGATGTTTTGAAATTTTGTTTAATTTTAAAGTGTCCGTTGTATTCATTTAAGAAAAGTTAAAAATAAATTTATTTCTTATAGAAACTTTTATCTTTTGTATTGATTTTATGTCCATAATTTGGGATTTTGTTTTCAGCGTGTATTTTTTTCCAATACAGTTTCCCACAATTTCGTTTCAAGCACCATTTCAATTAAAGTCGTTTTCGAGCTATGATTCGTTGGTAAATCTGGAATACGCTCTTATGATAAATTAGGTGAGAGTCAAATTGGCCGAATCTTGACACAAACTTGGTTCGTTACCCCTACACTGTGGCAAATAAACTTAAGATTTTCTTAAAGCTCGACTTATGAATGAAACATATGAATTTAATAATCGTAACTTATGAATGATTTTCGTCTAACATGTGGTAGCTCTTATACGCTTTTAACCATTCGATTAGCAGCGCCGGTGGTGTAGTGATAAGTGTGATTACCTCTCACCACAGCAGTCCATAGTTCAGTTCCAGTCTGCTCCGTTTTATAATTTTTCTTGTGGCTAAAATTCATAATTGGTTCTTATGAAATTCTTAGGTTCTTTTGCCTCAGTGTAGCGAACAATCATGCGCATTTTCATGGAATTTAGAGGGGGATAAATAAAATCGATTTCATCTGGTGAGGAACGAATGCAGGACAAAGCCAGATAGGAGATAAGGTCGAAAGACAAAAGGTTGAACGGACATTTTTTTTTATTTATTTCGTCAACTCACGTAATGGTAATGGTAAAAGGTAGAAAGGACAATGGATCGAATTAAACTTAGAGGTTGAATGAACAAATGGTAGAAGTGGACAATAGGCCTAAATGGACAAATGGTATAAATGGAAAATAGGTCGAAATGGACAAATAGTCAGAATGGATAAACTGGTCAAATTGTTGGGGTATAAAAAATGGTGGCTAACTCTCAAATATTTTTCCTTCTTTAATTTTTTTGTTAATTTCGACCATTTGCCCATTCGACCTTTTTTCTCTAAGTAAAGATGTGTGGTAAGAAAACCCTGCAAAAGAAAAAAAAAAACGAAATTTTGGCTTAAATTCTATAGAAACTTTTTCAATTTGGATTTTTTCACCTTATTGCTTATGTGTTGTTCTTTAAGACCATACAAATTATATTTTTTGCGTAATTTACTTCATAATTTTCCTTATGCATAAATTTACCTATGATAAAATTTTCTCTATACGGTACGTAACGAATAGAAAGGAAATTTTCAATTTCCGGCAACAACAATAAGAAACAGCATATATTGTAGGGGAAACAGTCCTATTGTTGCAGTACGTTTGTAGCGTTAGAAGTCTTTTGCTGTGTATGGAGGTCTCCATACACAACAATAGGCTCCTAACGCTTCTAATGTATCGCAACAATAGGATTGTTTCCCCTATTAAACTGAGAAATCTGGCCCGCAAAACCATTTTTCGCATGTTAAACTTTCACAATTCGGCTGTTTTCACAACCAAATCCCAAATGTTTCGTGAAATTCCGTACAAATCCGTCTGGTGTCATTAACTCTAAGCTCAATTTGACCTTTTGTCCTTCGACCTTTTGTCCTTCGACCTTTTGTCCTTCGACCTTTTGTCCTTCGACCTTTTGTCCTTCGACCTTTTGTCCTTCGACCTTTTGTCCTTCGACCTTTTGTCCTTCGACCTTTTGTCCTTCGACCTTTTGTCCTTCGACCTTTTGTCCTTCGACCTTTTGTCCTTCGACCTTTTGTCCTTCGACCTTTTGTCCTTCGACCTTTTGTCCTTCGACCTTTTGTCCTTCGACCTTTTGTCCTTCGACCTTTTGTCCTTCGACCTTTTGTCCTTCGACCTTTTGTCCTTCGACCTTTTGTCCTTCGACCTTTTGTCCTTCGACCTTTTGTCCTTCGACCTTTTGTCCTTCGACCTTTTGTCCTTCGACCTTTTGTCCTTCGACCTTTTGTCCTTCGACCTTTTGTCCTTCAACCTTTTGTCCTTCGACCTTTTGTCCTTCGACCTTTTGTCCTTCGACCTTTTGTTCTTCGACCTGTTGTCTTTCGATCTTTTGTCATTTGACCTTTTGATCTTCGATCTTTTGTCCATCGACCTGTTGTCCTTCGACCTTTTGTCATAGATTCCGTCGAATTGCTTGTGAGTGGCTCGGTGGTCTAACGGCAACCAATTTGGCTTACTGTGCAGAAAATCATGGCTTTAATACCACCTTACTTGCATATGTCTTCATGCATTTAAATTCACCGTTCCGATTATCAAAACGAGCCCTACTGCCAACCCAACTTATTTAACAAACCTCCCAGTGATTTCTAGTAGTAGTGCAGAGGATTTGTTGGCTGCATGCACAACGAGTATCACATCCACACACTACCCACTCGCATAATGGACATGCATATATACGCACTAGTATTGCCTATATGTAGTAGATCACCAGTATTTACACGTCTATTGATTCTGAGTGCAATTCCAGGTCATCTGGCTATTATGAAGTAGTTTCCGTGGGCGATGCGTTATGCACATGCTCGTCTTGAATTTTTCGTCAAAAATTGAACGGCTGCTAATCAAGCACCTGCATTTGACTGAGAACTTTCTAAGCTTATACCCTTTTTGGCACGGATGTGAGTGAAATTACAAAACCGAAAACTTCCTCAACTGGGTCGAGCATCAAAACCACCACCTTCCAATATGAGTACATATCCCTAACAAAATAAAAAGGATCTCCCTTCGATTCTTGCGTGTCTCTACGCTATCCCAATACAAGTTAGAGTAAAACAAGTACCTACACCTACATTGTTGGCCATTCGCCGAAAACCCCGGTCACGCTAATGGCCTTCATAAACATCACCTCGTAACTATGGCGTGCTTATCGTGTCGTAAAAACCCACAGGACCGTGTAAAAGGTTCGAGGTAGAGCAGCACCGACTGCTCCGAGCCGTACACGACCATCGTGCAATCTACCTGGCACTGGTCCGTACAGGACGACGGGCGAAAGTTGCTGTCAGCAGACTTTTGGAAATGCAAACCTTGCTGAGTCGAGTCACAACATCGACCAAACCGTAGGATGATAAGAAAGGATCAGTCCTGGCAATGACGATGACGATGATGATGCTGTCGAATTGCGTATGAATGTTAGCGTTCATGTAGGTAACAAAAAGTACCTGGCAGGTAGTGGTCTACTGACGAGGGTGGGTGCGTACTTGACGGGTATGTTTAGCCAATTTCCGGTATCCTAAATCAGTCATGCCCAAACGTTTAATGTTGTTATCCCTGTTGGCAACCTGTCCGTGTACGTCAGCCAAAGCACGTTATCACATTCCGGACCGAATTGGTGATGCCAGGAGCCGCTGCAAGCGGGTTAATTCTATTGAAAATGGTACACAATGGTATGGTTGCTCATTGGATACGAGAATAGGTTCAGACAAGTTTGGAAATAGACCGCATGAAAATAACGTAGAACAAAGGGATGTTGACTTGAATTTGTTGAAATTTGTAGAATTCCGAGATGCATGAAAAAGAAACACGACCGAATCCTCCTGCATCGGCTACCGTCACCGAAATCTCGGCAGCCCAGAGGAATCACACAGTCCGTCAATCACCATTTCATTTCGTTAATAATTTCCGTTTTTCTCAAATCCGCGGGGAATGCCATCGACTCGGCGGACGTCGACTCGGGTAATAGCAACGGCATTCACACCACGCAACCGAAGAAAAATCAACAATCCGGCTCCTTTTACTGAACGACGAACCTGGGACATTGGGGAAAGAAAGATCGAAAAAACATGTCCTATGGAGCGCTGAACTGGCTCCGGTCCCAGTCCCCACAACTCTGGCATGTGTACGTGGTCTCACTCACTAAAAACGCTTCTCACCATGTAGCCTCTCGGAGCTGGGTCACGGATTTGTTGGTTCAGTGGGTTTTTTCAGCCCCGTCTACTCGGGCCGGTGCGTGGCTGTGGTGCAGAGGAGTGGGGGAAGGAGAAGCACACCGACCAACAATAATTGAGTTGATTTGGCAAATACAAATAGAATTTGTACCGGTCTGTTGAGCTGCGTCGCTCGGTGACTTTCAATATGTTGCAGCAGCCGGGATTGGAAACCGAGAGTGGAAATAAACGGAAACATTTTTGCAGGAATTAGGATATTTGATT